GGCCAGAGGTGCAGAATGGCAATAACTTTTTTTTGTTAGTCCTGAGAGACGCCTTGGTTGTTGACTGTTTGTGGTTATAACTTGTATTTCTATAAAGAACAAAGAAAAATCTATAAATTATACTCTACCTTTTATTATTGTAATCATTAACTAAATATAACTGTCCAGGAATGATGTAGTGGTTGAGAGTTTGTTGAGCAAGGTGGGCTTTCATGCAGATGTAACTTTAAACCAGCACTTAGAATGTATGAATGGATCACAAAGAAATGCCTCTGTAATGCCTCGGATACAGTGGCACAGTATGGAAACCATTCTATGTACCCTTAAATGGGCAGGCAATCTTTTTGGAGAATGTATAGTCCGTGTAGAATCATGGAAATCCAGGGGTGACAGAAAGGTAAAGGCGAGAGGGAGTTAAGTGAGCGCATCGGCAGCGGCAGGCAGAATGGCGTTTTCTTTGTATGGTCTGTTTTGGTTGGCACAGGTGTTAATGGGTTAATGTGCCGGAGAACACTGAACAGTCTCTACAGCGGCCTGCACCCAAGGGTCTCACAGACACACACATGCTTGTACCTGGAGGGTACCATAACATGTTTGAAGTACTATATATATAATATTGGAAAAGATAAAGTTAATAAAGAATAAAGATAAAGTTTTATAACACTGCTACAGTAACCCAAAAGTAGAATATATATATATATATATTTTTTAAAGTGAACCATTTTGTAAAAAAAAAAAAATAGCCCAATTAAACACCAGTAGTTGTGGTATCAACAATGTGTCATAGATGGGAATGATTCAACCAACTACAGCTCAAACGTTAGAATACGGATTTAAAGGCACTGTACTGGGTTTTTACTGTCTTAAAACGTGAAAAACAGAACAAGTTCAGTTTGCAGTGGTCCATACTTATTCGTCACTTACCTTATGCATTCATGCATCCTAATTATTCACCACTATGTGTTTATTAGCGGTGTACACAACTTTTATAGGCCAGAGTGGAGTTTGCCGTCACGGTAATGCTAACAACAACTAGCACGCTAACCGCACACTTCCTATTGACCAAATAAAAATAAAATAAAATAAAATGATGCATTAGATGCAGACAGTACAAAGCTGACTTGTTTTGACTTCAGCAGCTACTTATGAAATATACACTACTGGTCAAGAGTTTTCGAACACCACACTTTTTTCCAGTTTTTTACTGTTTACTGTTGACCAAAATGTATTCTACTTTTAATTCATGAAAGTGTCCTCCAGTTGAACACACTCGTGGCATTCTTTTTGCAATAGAAATCAAATATTCAGAAAGTTCTTCCCAAGTCTGTTGCAGAAGTTCCCATAAATGTGTGGCACTTGTAGGTTGCTTTACTCTTCTGTCCAGTTCATCCCAAACCATCTCGATGAGGTTTAAGTCTGGAGACTGTGCTGGGCACTCCATGTTTTCAAGTTCACCATCTTGTTCTTTTTTCTTGAGGTAGTTTTGGCAGAGCTTGGACTTGTGTTTTGTACCTTTTTCTTTCTTTTTTTTTAACCTCTGTCTGTTCAGTTCTTACCTTTGTACCATTTCAAGCTCTTCATTGGACTTGCACGACAAATTGCAATAAATAACTGGAAAAATTAGGGTGCTCAAAAGCTTTTGACCGGTAAGGTACCTGTACTTGGGTAAAAAAAAAAAAAATTGCTCAAATACAAACAAAACAGTATGGTACATCATCTTTAAAGTACCCATATTTTGCTATTTTCTGATCGATGTTTTAAAGTTGTTTCCACATCAAACATGTGTGAATGAAACAAAACACAACTTTGTTTTTGAGGAGGTAACAGCATTATAACATGGTTTAATAGTTAATATCACCTAATATATTCATCCAAATGTTGTGTCTCTCAAATTATTTTTTTTTCCTCATTATTAATTTTTGATTTCATAATTTAGTTAAGGTTAATGCACTTTCAAACACTAACCTCTCTTACCTGTAGCTCACGTCCAGACAGATAAAGCTTTTTGCAGATGGCCCACACCAAATGATGAAAAGCTCAGAAGAACAGAGGAGCAGAACGGATGGATGGTTTAGAGGATTATTCAGTGTCTCCTCTTGGCGTTGTTTGTTACTTCTAATGGGCCTGGGAACACTTAGAGCACTTAAACCAGTCTGACCACTCTGACCCGGGGGCCAAAGGGTTAAAAGCCTCGCGCTGACAGACGGGAAGACAGAATAGTGCGGTAGGTTAGGAATAAAAAAAAAATTAGATTAGTGATTTATGTTTAAAAGGACAGTGCAGTCATACATAGTCACAGAATATAGTGTGTGTGGCGAGTACTAATTCTCAACCTCTGTCCCGGTTTTGTCTTTTCTCTACAATAAACACTTCAAAACAGTTTAAAAGCACAATCTGCAAACACATTCTTACAACAGTGCAGTTTCACATTTCAGACATCCCCACATTCACACACACAGTACAATATTTACTGGTGGTTACATCTCTGGTTTGTTTTTAACTGAGACTTGAGACTTGAACAGCTTAAGCTCTGTTCTGCGCTTTAGTTCAAGAGGATTGTGAGTTTCCATAGTTTAGAATATTGATATGAAAAAGCTGTCTGTCCAAATGTGGTTCTGCGCTGTGGGATTGGACAGTTGTTACTGGAGGTGCTTCTGGTGACTCTGTTGCTGGTTTGAAAGGTTCCACGCTATGGCATTAAGCTCATCTATGTTGCATTTATTCAATTACAGGGGTTTTACTGCTCAAAAATATAGTGAAAAACTTAGCTGTTTTGTATGCAGAATAAGAGTTTTTTTGTTGTTTGTGGACGAAATTGTGGTACTATTGCAATTACTCTTGCAGCCCAAACCACGTAGAAGATTTAATGAAGAGAACATGAACATTTGCTAATATGGATTGTCTACTTTGTCAAAGCATCTGACAGTGCGTTGAGAAGGACTTTTCTCTGTGTCTATGGCTTCCATCTTCTCTCTTGGATGAGTAAGAGGTGGTGTCATCGTCTCCTTTTATCTGCTCTCATCCATCTCAGGTGCTGCTGCTCTGTCTCTCTTCAGACTGAGGTTCATTTAGCCCTCGGCGGGTCTGTGGGATGCATTTGGACTGCACAGGTTAGAGAAATAAAAAGTCCAGTCATGAGCTCATCCTATTTGTACAAAGGTAAAAACAGATCTTCAGTTGGATTACAGAGGTTCAGGTAGATCAGTGGTCTCTTTGTGAATCCAAAACAAACTGTAGTCCTTCCTTCATTACATGTTTTTGTTTTGTTTTTGTAATGAGGACATTTGTTGCCTGGTGAATCCAGACTGATATCTCCCTGTAAACACACAGAGAGAGATATCTCTCTGGTCCCCACTCCCTCCGACGCATCTCCAGCCAGAACCAAACATGTTTGTGCAATCAGATTTGTTTTTGTAGTGACTCATGAGAAACAAAGAAGCTCGTAGATCACCGATCATTTACAAACAAGATCAAATTATCTCACCTCAGATTAACAGAGGTTAGATCTTTGCTCATTGATTCTCTTTTTTTTCTCACTCATTTTTCCATAATTGTTTTGATAAAAAGCAGTTTTCTAATTGGGTGTGCTTGGGTACTAAACCTTAGTTTCACTGTGCTTTCTGAAAAATGTTCTTTCAAATCTGTTTTTATGTGTGAACTGCTCTGAGAACTGATCCTCTGGGGTCAATAACATTTTATGCATCTGAAAATTACAATATCGTTGTCAGCCTCAATTGGGTTATTGCATGTTTAACACAGTTATGATGCACTGCCCTGTTGTTTTATATAGGGATAATATGTACTTTTTATGTTTTTGAGATTTTCATTATTAAAATGAGAAAGAATCCTGCATCACCAATCTTTGCAAAAGTGAATTTATTTAGTGCTTTAAGAAGGCCACACGGCTGAAGTACAAGGATTGACGTGTGTGGTATTCCTTGACATTGATGTGCACTCGCCTTTGCATTGCCCCTGCTCCTTTTCCTGAGATATTCATTATGGTCAATACGGCCTGAAACCCTCCACTGTACTTAAAGATATCAGTGAAGTATCCTTTCCATCTGCCTAAGTGGAATCGCTCACATTACCTCACTGCTCCTATTGAGAGCACACAAATCCTACATACATACAGCTCCAATCTGAAATGACCAGTTCTTGTCCAGAGGCGCACACATACTTGGTCTGCAGTCACCTGTAACAGTGGGAGCTCCTCACGGCCCATTACTCCAGCACGCACTTCGGCCCAGGCCATTAGCTGTAATATATCCCTCCACTCACTCCCATACCATCTCCCCCTCTCCGGCTTCTCTTTCTCTTTGTTGGTTTTGGGATATTTAAAGGGAAGCTTCAAGTCATCGCCCTCCTCACATGCTACATATCTTTGAATGTTAGCGTCGCTGGATGTGAGTTCTCTCTCCTCACCTCAGCTCCAGTTGTAGCCGTGCCCTCAGATCTCTGTTTAAACCTGAGCGGATCTGGTCAGTATTACTGTATCCTGTTCTATCAACAGTTTGAAAATGCTGACGCTGTGAGTGTGTGGTCTCTGCTGTTTCCTATGCTTTTCTTTCCACTGGTAAAATCTATTCAGCACTATAATCTGAAGGATTTTACTTCAGTATTTAAGGACGGAATAAAACTGATTACGCATAATTCCAGTACAGTTTGAAACATAATCTGCAATCATTCTAAATTGCGGCCTCTTTCCTCTAAGCAAGAAGGTTCTGGGTTCGACTCTCATGCCTTTCTGGATTTAATTTACATGTTTTGCCCATGTCATAAACCTAAAACATGTACAATAGGGTAAACTTACAGCAGAATGGGTGCACTGTTCCTAAATTGTTTCTCCAGCAGAAGAATGAGCCAAATGCATAGTACAAATTTCCGCAGATAATAAAGCTGACCTCAACTTTAATTCCCCAATGAGAAATAACTGTCAAATTAACTAATATTACATCAACAAAATTGTCAAAATTTGTGATTATTGTTTTTATGTTTTCCAGGTGCTGGCTCTTCGACTGTAGTTACATTTTCTGCGTTCCTAAATGGCCACTATCCGCCTGCTGACCTGATTGGAGACGTCACTGTGTCCTACAACGCCCCCACAGGTAAATCCTGCTACTACACCTCTCTCTTTGTCATTTGTGTATGTCTCCATCTCAATCCAATCAGCATGTCTAAATCATCATTTATAGACATTTTTATACACTATAATAAACCACCATTAATGGACACATATAATGCAGATTTGTGGCTTTAATCCCCTTTTAAACATGCTTTTTGATACTAAATGATTCATAATTTATGTCTACATTGTGATAACACACTTTAACTATACCTCCATTGTTATTTATGTGTTGGAGCGCGCTCTGCTGTCAACAACAGGAATGAATAATGGGAAAATAAACAAATAGTCCGGTGATGGTTTATGGACTTGAAAACTACAGAAGGATTTTTACATATGACGCAACAATCTGGGCAAAATGTCAACGTAGCAAAGTGCAACTCCACGTATGTTTTTGATCAGGGAACATGTATCTTTTAATAACAACATGTCCACAGTCTCTTTTCAAAGTTTTCACTAGAGTCACTAGAGACAGTACGCCAAGTTTCCCAAACAGAATCCTCTAGTTTCAGAGTACCATATTTTCTGGACTATAAATCGCTCCGTAGTCGCACCAGCCAAAGAATGTATAATGAAGAAGAAAAAAACATATATAAGTCGCACCGGACTATTAAGTCGCACTCAGAGACCAGGAACCAACATTTCGCCTTGAAAAGCAAGTTATGGTAATAACAATAGAACAGAGCACAAGAGGATGAATAGATGTCTGGTATGTTAACATCACATATGAAGAGTTATTCAGATAATTATAGCATAAACAACAAAACAACAAGTTTACCAAACTCTCCATCTCACTCCAAATCACTAAATCAATTGAATTCTTTATTCTCAGTGTCACTTCTTAGCAACTCCGTGACCTCCGGAGGTCAATGGAGCGCCACTTCCTCTTCTGTGTAGCTGTCGTCAAACTCAGCATCAGTTTCAGTTAGAATTATTCTGGCATTTTTGAATGGTGACAGGATGGTTTCAGTTGTCACTGAAATCCAAGCTTTGTCGATCCATCCAATGACTTCCAGGAAAGTTGCATGGCGCACCTTCACAGTTCTCGTGAAGCTGTGTTCTCCATGCTCGCTTTCCACCAGTCCCTCACAAGTTTCTCGCTCACTCCAAACTTTCTTTCTGTTTCTCGATTACCTTTTTTGGCTGAATATTTCACTACTTGCAGCAGGACAGCGGCTTTTTTTGCCAGAGACATGTGCAGTAGAGCAAAGTGACAGTGGTACAGGAGTAATAGGAGTAGCAGATACTGACACACAGGCCTAGAGTGCCCTCTCATGACTGTCAGTGTGAAACTTTTAATATATAAGTCACACCGGAGAATAAGTCACAGGACCACCCAAACCATGAAAAAAGTGCGACTTATATTCCGAAAAATATGATCAATTCTGGAATCCATATATTGTCCTAACTATCGTTTGATAATCGCAGCTCTACAACTAGCTAAACAATTCGTATTTGAAGTTGACATAAAACATACTGCTTACTTTTTTCTTGTTGTTTTAACAGTTTTGAATTCGTAAAAGTGTGTAAAATATTTTCAAACTCAACGAATATAGCAAAATAGCACTTGTATCCATCCGTTTCAACTTCCTTTTACATGATGAGGACTGTTCAACAACAGATATACTATTTTGTTTCGAGTTGTTAATCGCTATGACAACTGTCGTAAATTTTCATCATTCTGAAGCCCATGCATAAAGACATGTTGTGGATGTAATGTGTTAGCTCATAAAGTAAAAAGCCGTTTTAAGTGAAATTGACAGTTGTTGACGTCATCGCTTCTGTCTATCCCCTCACTCCCTCCAGACATATTCCATGGGCTTGGAAGATATGAGTTTCCCAACAAAACCTCTTTATTTAAATGCCACAGACCTTTAAAGTTTTGTAAGTGTCCAACAGCAGCAAAACAAGTGCTTTAGTGTATTGTTTAGTTTGGATCGAATGGACTTTGGCAGACTTCTCCTAAGAACAAAACCACTCCAGATTTTTTATTTTTTTATGTGAAAGACTTTTTATTGTGAGGCTATATTTAGTTCAATAAAAGGAGTCTGGGCAACACAGTAAATGCGTTTGGACAAGACTGATATGACTCGGCCAGATCTTGGAAATGTGGAAATGCTGAATGAAAACTAGCCCTAAAACCCCAAAGCGCTATAAAAGTGAACTTCATCTGACATTTATTTTGTAGTGTCTTGACTTAAGCTGTGGGGTTATTCAATCATTACAGACATTAGACACCTTATTGTTGTGAATGGGGCTGTAACTAGCATTTTCTTTCTTGCAAATCATAAAAATGAATCAATAAAACTAAAGATTTTTGAATATAACATTAAAAAAAAACATCCAACATGGTGCTTTAGGACTTTTAGAGGGAGCATTCAAGGTGCTATATGTATGTAACTTTTTTCTTGGGGTCCGTCACCTGCTTGTCAACCGGCATTCTGACTGTGAGCGGGATCGCCTCTCCACAGATCTGACCTGTAACTTGAGCTGGTTTGGTCTCCGTGAAGATAGAAAGGTTTAATGCCATACTGTGAAACATTCCAGACAAAGCAATAACATGTTCATGAAGAAAAGCATTTGACAGACCCTCCACCAGAAAAGTTACACAGTGCACCTTTAAAACTGCATACTATTTTATATGCAGTGTTTTTAATTACTTTCTAAACTGTGTATCATTCGTTCATTTGTTTTTTCAAAATGAAACCAAAAATAAGAAAATGAATGAAAAATTAAACAACTGAAACAAAATGAAACGACTATTTTCTTCATTATTTGTCTCCAAAACCAAAATGGAAAAAAAAAAGATAATAATTTGTTTTTTCAGTTTTCGATTTTGTGTTTAACTGAATAATGGAAAAAAACGGACAATGTTCCCGTTTCTGTGGCTTAAACTGCAATGCCGGATTTTTGTGCAGCATATGGACTGAACCAGGACTGAACCAGGACTGAACCAGGACTGAACCAGGATTGAACCAGGACTGAGTGTCGGGACAGGCCCGGAGTTGCGCCTGCCACACTGGTGATCAGGACTGAGACCGGGAGGGGACCGGGTTGAGACCGGGTCGAGACCGCGACTGAGACCGTGACTGAGACTAGGACTGAGACCAGGACTAAAACCAGGACCAGACCAGGACTGAGAGCAGGACTGAGACCAGGACTGAGACTGATTTAGTCCTGGTTTTAGACCTGTTTTAGTCCTGTTTTAGTCCTGCTTCAGTCCTGTTTTAGTCCTACTTCAGTCCTGTTTCAGTCCGTATGCGGCGCAAAAGTCTGGCATCGCAGTTTAAGTCATGGAAACTTACTTTTGGTTTTATTTTGAAAAACAAAATGAACAAATAATACACGGACTCTTTCTACTTCCTTCCAGGACATAGCATATTGTAGAACTGTGTACATATTCCTGGAAAATCATTCATATTAGACAAGATTTTGTGCCACATGATCTTGTGAGATAAAATTGCTACCTCATTGTTGCCTGGGAACCAAAATACGCACTTCTACTGATATTGGGAAGATGTGAGTCTGGCTCCCTACTTTCAGATGGGCGTGATTGACAGGGGGATTAGCCAATCAGGGACATGTGTGGTTCAGCCGTATCAAAACAAATACAGATGCTTGTGCGGAAAAAAGGAAGGAATAAAATAACACAGGGGACTATAAACATCACAGATTTTTATAGGCAATGAGCGAATCACTACACTATGTTAATCTGAGGTGAGATTAATTCGATTTAGTTTATAAATGATAGATGACCAATGAGCTGCTTTGTTTCACATGCGTCACTGAAATAAACAAATGTGATTGCACGGTTTGTTTGCTTCTGGCTTCAGACGTAACAAGAGGGTGTGGGGACCTCACTCAGATCAGTCTGAATAAAAAATACAGAGAGAGATCAGTCTGGACTTACCAAGCAAACAAGATTGTGCACACAGGAGAAAACTGATCTTAATTACACATTTGGATTGGACAAAAAAGGGTTGACGCTGCTGAGTTACATTTCTTGGTAAGCTGTAGTTCCAAAAAGCAATGACAGAAAAAATATTGCATAAATTCTAAGGCCAAAATTGTGAACTGAAATGTACAAATTATTTAAATTTATGTCAAAAATTAAAAAAAAATCTGTCTTGCCTCATGGAAATTGATTGGTTAGTAGTTAGTTGGCATATTAAAGGTCCTATATTACGCAAAACTAACTCTTGTAAGCCATGTTATAATGTTGTTACCTCCACAAAAGCATACCTGGAGTTGTTTTTTTTATTCACACATGCTTAGGTAATGCTTTGTCTACATCTCCAAAGCTCAAAATGCTTTGTAACTTTTAAACTACCACTACATGACATCACAAGGTGAAACTAACAGCTACATTTTACATTTTGCTCAGTAGAGATTAGAAATTCCAGGGCTTAAATTATCCAAATGATTCCAGTGAAAGTTTATAGAGTTTCAAAACACAATGGAGCACTTCCTGTATGACCACATGACATCACAAGGTGAAGTGGTATTTTCTATTTGAGAGAAGAATCAGCCAAAATATGCAGGTTTTGTGTGTTTAACATGTGTAAATGAAGCAAAAACAACTCCACTTATGTTTTTTGATGAGGAAACAACATTATAACATCAGAAAATAGCGTAACATGGGCCCTTTAATTATTTGATTGTTCATTTCAATAATTTATGACATTGCTCTATTAAAAAATACAGGAAAGAGAGCTTATTGTTTAACCATATTCATAAGAACTTTCCTCAACAGTACAAAAACATCACAATGGACCAACAAATCAAACACCCATTTTGCTTTGACTCCTTGCTTTCCTAAGTGAATTGGGACATTGATTGCTAAAAAAACATTTCTATTGGAGCCGGGTCCTTGCCCCTGGTCCCTTGTTGTATTCCAATTAGCTGTAACCATGGGTCTTAATGCCAGCGCTGCTAAGTGGCTGTGTGAAGGCGGGCTAATCTGTATTAACGCTGCTCTTCTTT